AGTGCAGACTTCCGCCACAATATTGTGATTCAGAAACAGGCTGAGAAGCCAGAATGTTCCCACTGAAATTCATGTGAAAAAAGAATTCAATGGAGTCGGAACTTGGAGAGATTTGTACTGTACAGAACATATTTTAAATTAAAAAAAAGTACTCAGTTCAAAACAACTAATGTGTGGGAGATGCAAGCAATTATTTGCTAGCTTTACATATCATGCTCGATCCTGTCTCTGTTTGAAACCTTCCTCCCAGCTGCTAACCCCCTTTAATGTTTTTATCTACTTGCAAGTCGGTGAGATTCCCTTAATCCAGGTCTCAAACATTGGGGAGTGGAAATATTCATTAGCTGCATTCCATTCTCATGGGATGTTAGTTTGCAACATGGTGGTCAGCTCTGTTAAGCATTGCCTGGTTTGGCTCAGGAGTGCCACTCTGCTTCAGTATACTAGTAAGTATCCCTGCCTTTCTTGTGATCTACATACATACGCCAAATTGGAGGTTGTGGACCACATTTGGAAGATTTTGAAACAGTAATTCAGTAGACCTCAATACAGTTCAGTTGATTCCAAATTTTAATTTTTTTCAAATTTCTGGAACAGTCACTTTTTTTGTGACAAAACCAAATTGCTGGAAAAGCTCAACAGGTCTGACAGTGTCTGTGGAGAGAAATCAAGGTTAACATTTTGGGCTGACTGACCCTTCCTCAGAACTGCCATTACACCCCCTTCCAACTCTTCTCCCTGTACTGCTCAAAGTCGATATTTCAGCGAAGCCATGTGTTCAGGAGGGAATGAATTTGTCAAGACTGACCAACTGCCATTAAGCACACCTCAGCTTCCTGATTGAGTCCAGGATAAGGATCGTTGGTCGTTTCTCTCTGTCCCTGATTAAATGGTTTTGTCTCCTGAGAACAATGACCCTGGTTGATTTGTGTAGATGATAAATGCCCTTGGACTGAATCATCTGTTCTGGAAATTTGTATATAACTATAGAATTGATGATAATCTTATTGCCTTTGGTATTCCATCACAGTTTCCCTATTCTGCCCCCTTCCTTGTACAATGAATTAATGGCAAATCATAACATCAGAATTAATCATAAAGTTATAAATGCATCTTACCTCTTCTACACTTCCATTGCAGACAATTAATTTGGGGTTTACTGCTTGTGTCACTCTTGATCATCTTTGAGCACACTTACAGGAAGATGTGCTCCGGATGTCTGGACTGATCTGGAAAAATGGGGAGGAACTATTCTTATTGGCAGAAGGTTTGAGAGCCATAAAGTCATTGATATATGTTGAATGGCAAAATGACCAAAGGCAATATGAGGAAAAAGCCCTTTATGCAGCAAATGGTTGGGAAACGATGGCCGAGTGGTATTATCACTGGACTGTTAATTGAGAGACCCAGATAATGTTCTGGGGACCTGGGTTTGAATCCCACCATGGCAGATGGTGGAATTTGAATTCAACAAATATCTGGAATTAAATGTCTGATGATGACCGTAAATTCACTGTCAATTGTTGGGAAAAACCCATTTGTTCATGAATGTCCTTTAGAGAAGGAAACTGCCATCCTTACCTGGTCTGGCCTACATGTGACTCCAGACCCACAGCAGTTGAGTCTTAACTGCCCGCTGGGCAATTAGGGATGGGCATAAATGCTGCCTAGCCAGCGACGCCCTCATCCTGTGAATGAATAAAGAATCTGGAATGCACTTCCTGAGAATGTAGTGGAGGCAGAATCAATTGTGACTTTCAAAAGGTATTGGATGATCAACTGAAGAGTAAAAAGTTACAGAGCTACAGGGAAGAGGTGAGTAAATGAGATGAGCTGAGTTGCTCACTGAGAGCTGATATGCACACAGCCGGTCAAATTGACCATACTGCACTATTACCATTCAATGATTATGTAATGTAAAATAGTTCTGCAAACAACAAGCCTCTCTTTCACAGTCCCTGTTGCCCAAGAAATTTTACATTTGTAGACATGCTCCCCAAGCCAGTGGGTTTGGTTGCAGACGTTTTATCACCCTGCTTGGTAATATCGCTACTGCACCTCTGGTGAAGCGTTGGTGTCCTGTCCCGCTTGTTATTTATGTGCCTCGGTTTGCTGGGGTGGTTGGCATTATTTCCCGTTTTTTTTTCAGTGGTTCATATATCGGGTCCAGTTCGACGTGTTTCTTGACGGAGTTCCGGTTGGAATGCCAGGCCTTCAGGAATTTCCTGGCATGTCTCTGTTTGGCTTGTGCTATTATGGATGTGTTGTCCCAGTCAAGTTTGTGTCCTCTTTTGTCTGGGTGTATTGAAATCAGTGAGAATTGGCCGTGGCTAGTTGGCGTTTGTGAATCCTTATTTGTATATTACATTAGTTTTATTGGTTGTTGGTTTGGGATCCTTTACATTCGTCAGTAGCTGTGGCTAGTCCATGCATCAACAACCACCCAGTGATAGCTACTGAGGTAAGGGGTCCTATACCCACACCAAATAAAACTAATGTAATATACAAAACCTTATGCAAGGACTATGAAAAACGTTACATAGGCCAAACTGGAAGAAAACTGACTAAAAGGATATACGGCCATCAACGAGCCACCAAGAGACACAAACAATTCTCACTGGTCTCAATAGACTTGGACAAAGGAGGACACACATTATCTGTCTCTCTCCCTTGTGCCCGCCATCTCTCACTCTCCCTCGGGCCCGCCATCCCCCTCTCTCCCCCCCTCGCATGCACATTCTCTCTGTCTCTCCCTCTCTTCCCCCCCCCACCCCGTGCATGTGCACACACATATAAATCTATGGGGTGAATTTGCATTTGCAGATTTGGAATTGCAGATACATTCTATTTTGTTCAAAAAGCACACAGTTTGTAGACGGTCTATGTGGCATTTTATGAATTCCTACTTTGGAAGTAAAACCAGTCTGACTCCAAGTTGATACACAGCTAGATTCTAAACAAGGCCTCACATCCAAAATGCAATGTCTGACCTGGGATGTCACCTCTCATATATGGAGGGAACTGATAAAATCTTTACTCATCTCAGGGGCAGTGACTTGAAAGAGATTTTGGAATTTGCATAGTAATGCTTTCTAAATGGTTAAAGACTTAACAGCCATTTAAGGTTTGTTTAACACCACATCAATTCCACGACCGTTTATCTTTTGCTTATAAACGGAGTCTGATGCCACCTGTCTCACTGACACCTGAAGAAGGAGCGAGGCTCTGAAAGCTTGTGTCTTGAAATAAACCTGTTGGAGTATAAGCTGGTGTGGAGTGATTGTTGACCTTGTCCAACTCTGGCATCTCCACATCATACAACCTCCATTATTTAGAGAGACAAGGGCTGTCTTGGCATGGGAACATCACTTTCAAATTCACTTCCAAGCCACTCCCCAACCTGTCTTGGAACTATTTTTCAGTTCCTCCTGTGTGCATGGAAGTCCCTTACAAGCAATGCTGCAGTGGTTCAATTTGCAGCTCATCACCACTTTCTGCAGGGCCACAAAGATCAGTAAAAACACTGGCCAAGACCACCTACAAGTATTCAAATTGAAGACCAACCAACAAAATTTATTGTAGCTTGTTTTCTTTCTGCATTACTGATAAAGATCTTGCATTTATAATGTACATTTTATGATCTGAGAATATATTAATATTTTGCAGTCAATTATGTAATTTTAAAGTTGTCACTGTTGTACTACCATTCCAAGTACAACATCTCACAAACACCTCCCATCATATGATCAGAAAAGCCCGTTTCCGTGGCAGTGGTTGAGGAAGCTGCGCGTAATTCCTTGCTTCAGAAGGATAGAAATTAGGAGCAGGAATAGGCAAGTCGGCCCTTCTAATCACCTCCACTATTCTGTGGGGTCATGGCAGTTCATTCAACTTAGCATCCTCTTCCTGCTTTCTTCCCATATTCCTTGAATCTTTTAACTCTCAAGAACTATGCCTAACTCCTTCTTGAAAACCTTCAATGTTTTGGGTTAAAGTACTTGCTGTGGTTGTGAAATATTGTTTGATAAAGCTCCTGTGAAGTGGCTGGAGATTTTTAAAAAAAAACCATATGAAAGGCACTTTTAAAATGCAAATCATTGTTGTTGTTGATAACCTTTCAGAGTGAGTGTTTGATTGGAAGACAAGTAATCCACACCCTCCTGATCACACACGAGGTACAATCTCTCTAACCCGAGCCAAAACCTTTTGTGAAATTCTGCACTATAGCTTTCCATCATTTTAGGATGTATTAAGAATACAAACGGATGTATTTAACAGTGAGACCGGCTTTAGTGCAGTTTTTCTTTTGTGTATTTCTGGCAATTACAGACAATCCGATTCTCCACATAGTCTTCGTATTGAATCGTTTTCTTCCGGCTATTACCCAGGCAGGGGGTTGATTATCTACGTTTACACTTTTAACAGAGAGAGCCCCCTTACCCTGAACAAACGAGTCTATCTCTCCTTCCCGCCTTCCCATTGATGGTCTTTGTGCCTTGGTCAGTCCAGCTGATGTTTAAACAGACACCGCCTGAATTTAATTGAATATCTCAAGAAGGGTGAAACATTAATCTTTCAAAGGCTGCAAAAATAAGGTTCATCTCTGGACTGGAAAACAGAACCGGGTGATGCAATTGGACTCAGGTGCTTCTTATTCTGCAGTATTGATTAGAGCCCAGAGCTTTCTATTTGGCTGCTTTGCTCTCTCTCTCTCTCTCTCTGCAGTGCCTGGTACACACCCTGATTTTCTCCAGAATCCAGCTGACATCATCTAGCATGACACAGCTAAGTACAGTAGAGTGCACTGTCAGAAGGGATGTTGGAGCAGCGCACTCTCAGATGCACACACGCGTACACGTTTGCGCTCGCTCTTTCTCCTCCTCCTCCTCCCCCTCCCCCCAGCTCTTGTGGAGGATCAGGTGTAGGGATAACCAAACAACACAAGCTGGCTGCTTCGCTTAAATGAACCCACCGCCTTCGTTCTGAGAGCCAGTTCGACAATGCCTGGAGATGCAGCAAAAGATGCAGCGAGGCTACCTGAGGAATTCCAGCCGAAGCAAAGAAGCCCAGGTGCGTCGGGGTTGGGAAAAGGATTTAGTCCGTATTAATTCATGTTTTATCCTTTCTTTTCCAGCAGGATGGCTGCTTAACAGTTTTTTAAGGTTGCACTCTTCCCTCTCCCCGCCCCTATCTCGATGGAGAAAATGCAATTTTTTTTAAATTGTGGGGCATTATGACGGACATTTTCATAACGAGGACGAGCAAATGATAATTCTGTGAAACCTGCTTTCTAGTTCTGAATGTAGCATTAGCCGATATAACGCGGCATAAAGCAGGGCCTGGTAGCGTATTCAGACATAAATATCTACTTTTTTACTTTTACAATTTAAAATTAAATCTCTATCAGCATCCATGATTAGACGTTGCCCTGCACTGGTGTTGATTTAAAGATTGAAGCTGGTAAGTGGTGTCAGATTATATAACGTAGCTGATTAACTTAATAAGTGCACTCAAGGATGCCTTGTTTTACAGCACAGTGTTTGTACTGAAGCCTAATGAACTTAAGGCCGATTACTGACCTTGGACCCTAACTAGAACGACATGATGTTATTGTTATCACCTAACGGAGTCCTGATGAAATCAAGATGTAACAGTGAGGTTCTTTCAACTAAACAGGACTGTTAATGAATGTATTAGCTAAATTCTGAACGATTGAACCCATTCCCAACTTGATTGTCCAACTGGGTTGTTTGGAGCTGTAGTATTCTTACCTCTGGGCCATTAGATTCTGAATTCAAATTCCATTCTTGAGATTTGAGCACACGGTCCAGGCTGACACTTTTTTGTGCAGTGGTGGGGAAGTGTTACACTCTAAATTGCTGTCCTTTGCGTGAAGCATGAAACTGAGAAGGGTCTAGGCCCGAAACGTCAGCCTTCCTGCTCCTCTGATGCTGCTTGGCCTGTTATGTTCATCCAGCTCTACACCTTGTTATCTCAGATTCTCCAGCATCTGCAGTTCCTATTATCCCTCTCCATCTGATCTATCTAGTGGATGTGAAAGACCCTGCAGCACATTTTCGGGGACAGGGGAATTCCTCTTGTGTCCCAACCAACAATGTATTTTCTCATCCATCATCTCCAAAACAGAAAACCTGGTCTCTTTCTTAATGTGATTTGTTGAATCTTGCCATGCACAAAATATTGCTGCAATGCAACCTTTTTTTTTTAAGAAGACTTAATTGGCTGTAAAACAATTTTGGGATGTCCTTGATGATCTGGCAGATACTATATAAATGTAAGTTATGTCTTAGTAGTTAGGAAAACAAAGTGGACTGTGGAATAAAACAAAGAACTGCTGGAGATCTGAAACAAAAACAGAATTTGCTGAAGAAACTCCACAGGTCTGGCAGCATCTGTGGAGAGAAAAATCGAGTTAGAGGGTCACTGGACTCAAAAGTTGTCAGAAGTCTACCATAGAGTTTGGTTAAAAGGTGATTGTATGAAATGTCAGTTGGTCAGTCAGAAACATTGCCTTTGGATTAGAGAATGTGAATTTGAGCTTTACACTGGACGCAATCTAATTGATGTAGTGGCACAGTACTGAAGCCAGCTAAAATGAATGTCTGGCATTTGTTCCATGATGCTGTAGTTAGGGCAGTTCAAGTGCATATCCATGTTTGAGGGTTTCTGCTTCCACCACCTTTTCGAGCAGTGAGTTCCTGATTCTTACTAAATTCTGTGTGGAGGGTTTGGGTGGGGAAAGTTCTTAATTTCTCTGATTCTGTCACCACAGGTGTTCTTTCAAACCCAACTCTGGGCATTTGTTTTGCAAATTCTCTTCATGTTGTTTCCACTGAGCTGAACTTTCCTTAATTTACAAGTTTGTTTTGAACTGAAGTACAACTATTTTTATTCTGTAATGAAGTCCTTCCTGTTTGAGACACTGGCATCACCCTGTGCAATGACATAAGATGCCAAATTATTTGAAGGCTAAAAGTCTTAAGGCCTCAGCATCTCTTTTGTTTCATCAGTTTCATTCCTGGAGTGGGTATTCTGGATAAATGTTTCCCCCATCCTCACCCTCCCACTTCTGCTTTTCAACCCTGGCCTGCCAATTCATCCTGCTGACCCAGCAGCACAGAAATATCCTGTGGATAGCTTAAGTCTGTCGATAACTATCTGAGTTCTATACCTTTTTTCCAAAATATTTAATCCTACTCAGTCTGAGAAAATGATCTGATACTGTTCTTTTTGCAAGAAAGATTCCACATCTACATAAGTCATATGGCATGGAAACAGACCCTTTGGTCCAACCAATTTATGCAAAGTGTAATCCCAAACTAAACTAGTCCCACCTGTCTGCTCCTGGCCCATATCCCTCCAAGCCTTTCCTTTTCATGTCCTTATCCAAGTGTTGTGATTGTGCCCACATCCACCACTTCTTCAGGATGTTCATGCCACATACGAACCACCCTTTGTGCATGTAGGGGTGGGGGAAACGAAATTTACCCCACACTGTCCGTTCATCCAATAGTTCCCTTTTGAAGGGCTGTCCTTGTTGTGAAGCCAAACAAATCTGCGTGTAGGATTCAGAAAATGTGATTAGAGATATTAGGTGTGTCAACAGTGATGTGTTTAGGGAGGAATGTTGACCAACACACCTTCCTCTTCAAATAGTGTAGAATAACGCTGCTTGGAGTTAGGGTAGAAGCAGTGAATCTGAAGTATGCTGGCAGGCTACAGTGTAACTCTGATTCCTCAGAAACTGCTTGCACAGAAAAACCTTTTGGAGGTGATGCATCATGCCATGATGATATCACAATTCTGAGTTAGTTGCCTTCATCTGAGCATCAAAAAGACCAATGTCTGTCTAGCTTGCCTTCTACTGACCTGGTAATTGCATGATATAACAATAATGAAATTATTAACTAACTGTGACAATTAAATTTCATCCAATAGTATCCAACAGATCAAAACATCGTAAGAAAAATTCTAGAAGGGAAGAACTTTGGGACCAAGAAGACTAAAGTTAGCTGCTCATTTTCTCCCTTACTTTATGCCATTGTCTCAACTTATTCATGTGCTGTTTTGCTTGCATTTTACTGAATCATTATTGTTGCTTCCACTGTTTCTTGAATGGGATTATTCCACAAATTCGTTACTTGCTTATTGTCTTGGCTTCATTAGGACAGAGTTGAGGTACCAAAGCTTAAAAATCTGACACTGATGGGGATGTGGGAAATTGTCAATTTAATGGTATTACCTTAAATAGATGTTTATCTCCTTTCCTGCCCTCAGCTGAATGGATCACCTGGCAGGCAGCCAGAAGGGATTGGAAACTAGTAAAATGGAGTGTCTTTGGCAGTGGGCAAGTCAAGGGAAGACAGAGACGAGGCCGTAATGTAACCCGTTCACGAGATTGAAGCATCACTGACAAGGCTAGTGCTTGTTGTCCATCCTTATTTACCTTTTAAGAATGTGCTAAGAAGCCACCATGTTGAATTGCCACATGCCCAGTGACACCAGGATAACACCACAATACTGTTAACGGAAGGAGTTTAGTGACAAGGGAATTACTTCCATATTAGGGTGGTGTTTGGCTTGGAGAGGAAGTTGAAGGTATTCTCTTATGCCCTTGTCCTTTCTAGATGATAAAGTTCATGGATTTGTAAGAACCTTGGTAAATTGCTACAGTGCTTATAGATATTACATATTGCTGTCACCATGCACTGGAGGTGAAGGGAGAGAATCCTTAAAGTGGATAAGGGTGCTGATCGAGTCAGCTTTGGGTCAAACTTCGAGGTTCAGAGCTGCAGTTATCAGGCAGGTGGAGACTATTATATCACACTTTTGATTTGTGCCTTTCAGATATTAAACAATCTGAGAGGAGTCAGGAGGTGGGTTATTCCACCATAGAACTCCCAGCACCTGACCTGTTCTCATAGCCACAGTACTTATTTGGCTGGTTCAGTTCAATTTCTGGGCCATGTTGGAGGATTCAGAGATGCTAATGGCACTGAACATCAGTGGTGGTGGGGGTGTGCGGGCAGGGAAAGGTTAGAATCTTTGTTTGTTGGAGATGTGCATCTGGCACATTTTTGGCACAGATGTTATTTGCTACTTATCTGCTCAAGCCTAAATGTTGTCCATGTAGGAACATAGTTCTTCAACTTCTCCAGGGTCATGGTTGATACTGAACATTGTGCAGTCATCAACAACCATTCTTCTGTTTCTGATCAAACAGTGGACAGAAGCTCATTGAAGCAGTTGAGGATGGCTGGTTCTAGAATTCTACACTGAAAAACTCTAGCTGCAAAGTTTTGGGCTTGTATGACAGACCTTTGTACAACCACAACCACCTTCCCATGTGCTAGATAAGACTCCAACCAATGCAGAATTTCTCCTGATTCTCATTGACTTCAGTTTTGCTTGTCAAATGTTACTTTGATGTTGAGGGAAGTCACACTGACTTCCCATCATTTAAGGAAGGATATGCTTGCTTTGCTGGTTGTACAGTGAAGGTTCATTAGATTGGGTCCTGGAATAAGAGGCTTGTCTTGTCTTATGATGAAAGACTGAATATACTCTCTGGAATGAAGACATGAAAGTGATCTCATTCTGACATAGTCAGAGGTCTTGATGAGTCGTGAATGTTGGGATAGCAGCTGACTAAATGTAAATGGAAACAAGGAGAAATTGAACCAACAGGGGGGAAAAAAAATACAACAAACATCTCTACAAATGCTACCAGTCCTGTGGAGTTTCTCCAGTATTTTCTGTTTGTGTTTCAGCTTTCCAATGCCAGCAGTTTTGTTGCAAAGAAAAGGTACCTTTAGAATTCTGAAAAGAGGGCTAGAGAAAACAGCCTTATTGCAGGAGGTGATGGAAATGGCAAAAAATGACCCTTTGAATTTTCCGGGCTGCACGGTGGCTCAGTGGCTGGCACTGCTGCCTCACAGCGCTAGGGACGCGAGTTCAATTCCAGCCTTGGGCAACTGTCCGTGTGGAGTTTGCACGTTCTCCCTGTGTCTGGGCGGGTTTCCTCCCACAGTCCGAGGATATTCAGATTA